TTATCAGTCAATTAAATCATATTCTTGCCTCATTCAAATGTCATGTTGATTTCTTCCTTATCGATGAAATCCTAGCATGTTGCGTGATTTCATATAGTAGTTGATTTGCAACATGCTGAAAACTGCACGCGAATCTAGCGAAATTCCCTTTTCGAAGTGTCTCAGGTTGGAAAAGTTCATGGTGTCTAGATATCCTATGAAATAAAGTGACGCTAAATGAAACTACAGTGCCTGGAGGACAAACATTTTATTATTTTGAAGAAAATTTTCGACCAGTCGAACAGCGAAATTCTTTACTTGATTTTTGAAGGATTTTCTTTCGTTGATTCAAAGTACAGAAACAGCACATCTTCTTCGTTCTAAAATGGGTTAAAGCCCTCCGAATTGTATCAAAAGACGAGAAACGAATAGATTTGAGGACTAAAATTCAACGCTCATGAAGAAGTCTGTGAATCACTGGATCTTCACTCATCTAAACAAAGATGACTAAGATGCCATCTTACACATAAAACCCACTAAATTTCCTACTGAAGCTTAATATTTATACACACCTTAGAAGAAATACTCACAGATTAAACGTCAAACAAATTAAACTGGACTATCGGCATATATGTTAATTTTCAGCAGTTAGTTTTTTGAATCCGATATTAACAGAAGTAGTATAAGCAAGAGCGCTTCATAAAAACTCAGTGTTTTGCCACATACATATTTAATAACATCTCTTCTCTGACTTTTTGATATGCTGAAGTTAATACCCGTATAATTTGGTGATTTACTACAATCAGATTCAGAAGTTCGTAAGATAAATGCTTCTTTTAGATCCCCAGAACTCACTTGGAAAGATCATAATTTTGGATTTGTTTGTTTTCGCGCATAAGTTGCTCAGATGACCTTCAGATTACATTTCCCACCCAGGAGGTCCTTGACTGTTATCGGTCGATGGATTATTTTAGAACACCGTTTTCATGGCTCTCCCAAAGATGTTTCTTTCATGTATAAAAAAGCTTGATATGTGTGTTTGTCAACCTCTTATTTTCTGAGTGCCGGTAAAATGCTCTTTCTACGTCTGATCAAGACTTCTTGATATAGTTAGCCGGGCCGGGGACAAACGGACCTGAATAGCCTATCGTGTCACTGCATCAGTTGTCTACGCTTCGTTTACCGAGTAAGGTGAACTCGTAATAGTTCAAGCATATCAATCGTTGAGCATATCACTATCAACATCCATTTAAGCTTATGATTCCGAGAGCGCTCCACATTGTTACCTTGACTTCCTTGATCACTCAGTAATTATAAGAATTAATCCACTTTTTGTTACTAGATTGGACATTTAAACATTCGCCGGGATGTAAACTTTGTCTTCTTTCGTTGGTAGATAGTCAAATTTTACAAGTCAGAAAAATGTAATCACACCAAGGTGGTACCACTGTGCAGAGGGTTTACGTGTCTCAATCAGCTGCTCTGTTGCTTCAATGGCAGAACACACATATTCATTAGCTTACAAACACAGGACTTGAGGAGAAGTTGCCGTATGTGCACTTAGTAGGACGGTGTAGTATTTAGAAGTATATGTATCAAGAATTAAAGATATGCACAAACGAATGTATTGTATTTAGAATTCGAAACCAAGCATTTCACAACAACAAGAAGTTACTAGTTCATTCAAACACCACATCCGCCACAGCTTAAATTGGAATGTATATGTCTGTAATCAGTTGTACGTCTTCTTCTCAAATTCATCCTGTGTCTGTCCGACAGTGTATTGGATAAAGGCTCTGTATTATCTAGAATGCTCTCATTAGTATTAGAATTAACAACCGAAATTGGAACAGACTCACCTGGCTCTTGGAATTGTATTTTATCAACATGTCGACTGTGTGTACTTAAGTCATTGATATCTAGAAGTCGCACCATAGATTTCCCAACATTCTTCAGAACAATCCCCGTGGATGGTCGAAGATCATTGCCACGATAATATGTAACTTCTGCAGACTCCAAACATCTCATATTCGACCGAAGAATTCTTCCTTTTAATAGTTTTGATGGAGTCTCTTTCGTCACCGAATGTCTGGCATTTCTATATTGCAGTAGAAAGGTATCTACTCCCCTCTTCAGCTCATTAAATGTTGAGGCGGCAATAGAATCACTCAACCTCGAATGCTGATTTTTCAGCTTATGACACTTTTCGCAATTCTTTGCTGTACGACAAATATCTGCATTTAATGACTGTCGAGAAATGTAGTCAACATGTTGAATTTGCTTGGCACTCCCGTGCTGAACCATTTTCATACTTCCATTGCACTTAGCACACGTGGCTTTCAAATCTTTAAGTACAGCATCAGAATTTTCTTTAGAAACTAGGAAAGACAACTCCACTTTAAGTCTTCTCAAATTCTTTAAACCCAGTATTGACAGTCCTGTTTCACTAACTAAAAATTCACAAGGTATATATGAGGAATTATCATCTCTTATTAGCAATTCACAACATCCTCGTATAGGCAGTTTGTGTCCAGTAATCCCCAATATTGATACATCAGTGGGTCGTATCACAACGTTCGGATCTAACGATTTCAGGTTCTTGAATGAAATAATGGACTCTATACTGCCTGTGTCCACAATAAAGTCATGAAATGAACCAAGTGATGTATATAGTCGCTTTTGAATATGAGCATTACCTTTCGAAATGGTAGTTAAAGATAAATGATCATTAGGATCAGCTGAATTATTGGAATCTAAATTACAAGCTTTAGCACTACTTGAGGCAAAATGAACAGTAGCTTTGCATACTGCTTGAATGTGTCCTATCTTACCACATCTAAAACATTTAGCATTACGAAATGTACAATAATAACGAGAATGAAGTTTTCCACATGATAAACATTTGCCAAACTTGGTCTCACCTTTTTGATTTCCTTTGTAATTCTTTTTTGAGACACCGTTCATATTTACACGTGAATAGGAACCACTGTTAAACGAACACAATTTTGATTGACCCTGAGATTGTATTTCATCATGACAACTAATCAAAGTATTGGAAATCTTCATCGACTGAATATCAAGTTCATTCAACGCCTCGTAGTTAATGCACGCAGTTCTAACATCTTGAAAGGAACAGTTTGAAATTCTTAACAGCTCTCTTTCCAAACTAGGTATGTTAATTCCTGCAATTAATCGGTCTCTCAGCTGCACATTAAGTTGATCACCAAAATTACATTTGACAGCCTGTTTCTGCAATTCAAGAATGAATTCTTTAACATTTTGGTCATTTTGACGAATCATCTTATGAAATTTCGCTCTTTCACGGCATTCAAAACCAGGGCACTTTACATGATTCAATAATAATCCTTTAGCATTGCATAGGGAAGTGAAATAGGTTTTTCTGGATATGCCAAAGTTTTTAATAAGCTGTACGCTTCTTTTCCGATGAATGTTAGGAAATGAGCCACAATTTTATCATCTTTGACATCTTTCCTGGTCATACTCCAGATTTCAAACCTTTCCAAATAATCGTCAAAAGCTTCAGAAGTAGAATGAATATCTAGCTGTTCCATTACAAGTTCCATCACGACGCCACTGTGATATTTAGAAGTATATGTATCAAGAATTAAAGATCTGCACAACCGAATGTATTGTATTTAGAATTCGAAATCAAGCATTCTACAACAACAAGAAGTTACTAGTTCATTCAAACACCACAGACGGTCAAATGTGGGGTTGCAACTGTGAGTATCTTTCTGGTTCTAGTCTTGCGTAACTAACACTCGCTCACTAAAATAACGATAAACCCTCCCCACCAAAACCTGTGTCTCGCATATTTTCCTTTTCAAATTATCTCCAAGTCCACTGAGTAACAAGCAGGGTAATAGCTTTATTGCTCGTTTTTACACTCCGACAACTAGGAAACCCAGTAGAGATCTGAATACTGAGATTATTAGTGAGTCGAAAATTCCAGTTTGTGGCAAGAGAATTGTGAAAAGCCTCAAAACGTCACAAAAGAGTTATCCTCAGAGCAATGCGTTTAGCTCGTATCCCTAACAGACAAACGAAGATAACACTCCCAGATTCTTACTCCTTGTAAAGCTAGTTGGCAAAACGAGAATAGGACAAAAAGGCATCTCAAGACTCAAATGAAGCAGCCTATTGTCAAGAGTAAAAATCAGAAAAACGATTTTTGTGAGCGAGTTAAGATACCAGATTGACTATGATCACACGGTTCCGTCACGTATATCAAAATAAATCCACGTACCAAGATTTTATTGAAGGAGACAGTAGGCATTGCATCGGGAACAGGGCATTCAGAAAAATGACAGCAACGCGGAGAACGTTGCGAGCAGGAAGTAAAGGAGGTGTTTTTGGTACAGTTAAATAAAACGAGTACAATAATGTTTAGTTTTCACAAATCGTATTTTGTTCGTAGAAGCGTTCCACAACACGATCACTGTATCGCTTGTTCGTTGCCAGTTAGAACCAGCCTGTCTGCATCGGAATGTAACTTTTTCAGTGGATGGGTTCATTGTCACTGCGATATTGCAGTACTGAGAACGTACTATAAGCTCATGCTAATTTAACCCTATCCGTCGTTCTGACATGTTTGTCCTCAATTCGGAAACATTTGGCCAACTAAATTCACAACAGCGAAGCTACAAACCCTACTTAAAATTAACCTACCAATCCCAACTGTAAATCTTGTTTTTTCTAGCAACTCGAGCTAATACACCAGTAAAACGATCAGTTATTGTTAACTCCGTAGTATCTTTTCAGAGTAAGGAGCAGTGGATGAGTTTAAGAAAAGAAAACGGTAACACCACTGCACAAAAAAGTGCAACTCACGGACAGAGGTGTTAGACAAGACTCATGAATTCTATTGAGTGTTTCAGTATCAGAGAGTAGCTAACTGGAAAGTAAGGCTGCAGTAAGTAAGACAGCAACATTACATGTCATAACAATGGTCTTATTGTTAGTGTCAAATTTAAATTAAATATTTTTGAAAATATTATTTTCATAAAATGTTGTATATTTAAAATGACAAAAGTATATACAGTTGGTTATTAATTTATTTCGGTTAAAAATTTGAAAATAAATGACATTAACAAACATTTTTGATTGATGACAAGATATAGTCTTATGAGGTATCGAATGGACTATTTTTAATGTTGTCTCATTGATTTACTTTCTCGAATATATATGTATATGTATGTGTATGATAGTGCTAATGCAGGACATAATGAATTTGTTGAACATTGATCGTAATATGAACAGCATTTTTTTTGTATTCATTTGTGAATAAGCTTAAATGTGATTGATATCAAGATTTACAATGGTGTTAGGATGCTTACCGCTCACATTTTTCAAATAATAATAATAATAATAACTGAAGTTCAAAAGGAATCATTTTATATTGAAAAGTATTTTGAATTTTTTATGTCGCATATATTTGTGATTTGTATATACGTAAAATTTATCAGAATAGAAATGAAATGATTGAGATTACATGTAAAATTCGATTAAATCATTAGTTTGATCAAGACAATGATACATTTTCATATAAATTTATTTTTTTTATTTCTATGACCAGATTAAGTTGAAAAAAATGTGAAGTATACTTTTTATTCCATGATATAAATGCTCATTTCATGTCAAATCATGTGTATTTTTATAAAAATGTGATTCAGGCAAAAGTTGATGTGTTAACTTATAAGTCCATTGAATAAACCATGGGACACCATCGTTTGTACTAGTTGCAGACATCCTGTCATATTGATTATTTTGAAAATTTTTTAAAAACATATCAATCTTTAATAAGAACATATAAATTAATTTCCATGGCCATATAATAAATGATGCTAATTGATGGCTTGAAATATAAGCAAAACATGAAACAAGAACATTATCCACAATCATTGTACCAGTATCAGTTATTGGTGCATATAAACCAGTTTTATAATTGACATTACCTGATTGATTCATTGTTACAGATTTTATAATTTCAACTGAAATAATTTCTGCTTTAATTAATTGTTTAGAATTATTTCTATTATTATAAACTAAAAGTGTTTGACCTTGTTTAACACTAGATGCATACACCGCTTTTTTATTGATCATTGAACTGTTATTGATTTGTGTTGAATTATCATCATCAATAAAAATTAAATGATCTTCAGTTAAATAAATAATATTTTGTTGTTGTTTTTGATTTGAATTAATTTGATATTGAATTTTTACCAATGGACTCCATGCATGTTCATCACGATCAAGAAATCCAAAAACTAATGTATTTATCAAAAGTCCATTGAATGGATTTTCTGTGATGATATAATCACCAATTTGTAAATCTTTCATTGATATTAAATGACCATTTGATTTAATTACTTTTGATTCACCTGGGAAACATCCAAACCATTGTGATGTAACAATAGAATCTAAAAAATTTTCAAAAATTCAGATTTTGAATTAATCATTTAAGTCATATAATTTCATAATGGATTTAAATTATTTCAATACAAGTAATCTTTATTTTTTTATTTAACTAAAAATGAAAACGAATTAAAAACTAATGCATTGTAGTTTATTTGAAATTATACAAAAAATACAATTATAAAATTTTGTTAATTCATGAATGTCAAATTATGCAAATGGACAGATATTAATCAACCTTCAACATGGCTTGTCAAAAGAACTGATTTTTGTCCGTAAATACAAATATGAGGTTATCCATTTCTGTATGTTGCTTATATTTTAACCGCAAGATCATCATGTAAACTGCCTAATTGTTATGAATTCATCTGTTTCATGAATATATCTTTTTAATGAACAAGGTTTGCTTATTTTTACCGTTTGCAATTATAACCACCCACTAAATCAACATCTCAAGGTCATTAGGTCTGCCTACACCCTTATGGCTTGACCAGTGAATCAGTGGAAAAGTACGGTCATCTATTCTCTCGATTCCAAGTTGTCTAACTTGATTATTAACAATAACTTATCTTTAAGTCATTTCGATAGTTCATAAATTCCGATGCACTCCACACATTCACATCAGAAAACTCTAAAACAAAAAACACAACTTATAATTTGCCGGATCAAATTTTGCATTTTCTAAATGATGTCTTATGGTAATTTTTTTTAGGATAAACTTACCTGATAGCCATGCAGATATACTGATGTAAAAGTCTTGTTTAGATAGTTATTTTTGAAGAGCTGAAAATCTTATTTTATTACTGTATATCAAATATTTATTTTTGAGTAATCAGTCATCATTTTTTCATTTTGTTTTACAAATTAAAAATTTACTTACCTATCAATAAAAAGTTTCTATTTGTTTAAGAAAATAAGGTTTAAAGAAAATTTATATGAAATAATATTTCAAATTTGTAATTTCACTCTCTTCACTAGAGAACAGTTGCATTTTTCCTGTATAGCTTCTGGTAACTTATCACATCCTGAATTACATGAAAATGTACACTAAGTTATTTTGGAACAACTTCAAAAATTGAACTGTTTTTGAAACGGTACAAGATTGAAGAAAACTAAAGCTTATTGACTAAATTGAGCTCTTGTATATGCTTATCATGTTATCGTACTATAACTCGTCTATTATTTTACAATATATTATAAGCTAATGTAATATATTACTGTTAAAATATATTTACTAAAATTGTATTACAGAGGTTGATCATTTCTATATTATTATAACAAAAGTACAATATTCATTTCTTATAATTTGTACAATCAAGTAATTAGATAGGTTTAGGAAGGATATTGACTAGTAAAGAGAAAACTCCTTCTATTTTATAAATATTATTGAAATATCTTAAGAGTAAATAGAAACATCAAAATAGTCTCTATTGTTACGGGGAAGTTAAACAATTATTATTTCATTGTTTTCTAAGATCAATTTCAAAACTGTATCAAACAAGATGAGTTAGTACAAGTTAAATAACTAAATAAGGTTCATTTTAAAAATTTATAATTCAAAATTTATGCTTTCTTTTTTATGATTAATTTGTGACCATAACATTAGCTCTATCAATCAGCTGAATTAAAATCACCCGTTTTTATTAGATAATGCTTAGTTTTACAATTTTTTTACACATAATCTATATCCTCTTCAGTGTTTACAAAGAAAGTAGGTAATAGTGGAGAAATGACTGATAGGTTAATTTTTGTAAATTTAGAGATGATAATAATAATCTTTGAACAATTAACAAAATTGATCTTTCTAATATTTTTGTATAATATCTCACAAGTAATTTCACATATTTTATTTTACTTTTGTGGACTCGATCATAGAAGTACAAACTGCGAATTACTGCTTGGCATATAGTAAGATCATCCTATTCTTCTCAACAATGACATGTCTTAGACTTAAATACATTCATTATCTATTGTTACATAGATTAGTAAATAGAAATGTTATCATATCATGTCATGATTGTGATTTTTTTCAACGCTTATTTGAGATATAAATAATTTACAATAGGATAATGCAATCTACTCAGGAAACAAGCTATTCATCATAGATTTAAGACATAATTGTTTCGGTCAAATCCGAATAAAGTTTTAATCTTAAATGAATTTTCGAAGTTCAATTCAACTACAATAATTTGATTTATTGAATAAAGTTTTAATGATAACCGATTTCATCAATGTAAAACTTCGTATTAATAAAAAAAACTTTTTAAAATCATGATTAACACTAATTCATCATGAATTTTTTAACGGTTATGTCAAAAATACTTTCATATTTTCAGTTAGAGCTTTGGAGACTTGTGTTTTTACACATTTGAAATCATCAGTCAATCATTGTTAGAACACCATTAGAAACCTGGAAACACTGGACGGCCGTTCCGTCCTGGTAAGGGACTCATCAGCAGTGCGCATCCACAACTTTTGCACCTCGCGGGATTTGGACCTGGGACCTTCAGTATTGTGCGCGAAAGCCTAACCATCGGACCACTGGCCCGGCATCCAACAGTGTTAATGTCTAACTTTCATATTTAACGATAATTAAGCTAGACACAGAGACACAGAGTACATTCTGAACTGATCACAAAAAAAAGATTAATCTAGGAAATTTTTATGAACACAAGATTGAAAGAAATAAAACATAATTTCATTCGAAATGTTTAAGATGTCAAAATGAAAAAAAACATATACATATATGTATATATACATCGATAGAGATAACAATATAAACTTGATCAACTTACCAGGTTTAACAGAACAATGTACATGACCAGCACGATTAAAGAAACACCAATCAAATTGAGCTACATAATAAGCTATTTGTGCTAATACACCTAAATGTAAATGGAAATTATGTGGTCTACCAGAGTGTTGTGTAATCAATTCCATATCTACAGCTCTACCAGCATAATGAAATTCTTCCATACGTAATTCATTGAATTTATTGTCAATTTTTTTAAAATAATTTTGATTAGAATGAGGATATTTTCGATGAATATTTGTTGTATAAATTGTATTCACTGAACGTTCAACTAATTTATGCAATGATCTATCAATTTGTTTAAATGGTTCAGTTTTATTAATTATTTGTTTTAAATGATACAATTTATTATTAGATTGTGTCGGTAAAACATTTCTTGGCAATCGAATCACACTGTTGTATGATGAATTGGTTAAAGATGATGAAATTTTATTAGGATTATAAAAATGCCCAGATGATGGCGATGATGGTGATTGATATGAATGAGGATTCTGTGTTGGATATGATGAGAAAGATGATGATGATGATGACGATCTAGGTAAAGAAGAAAGATGTGTTACATAATTTGGATCATTTTTTATTGAAGGCCAACGATTAGTTTGTGTTGAAATACTTTTGGACGATGGAATAAAATTGTGAAATTTTAAGCCTTTCGATTGTGTTCCAAATTTATTTGAATCAGTAGGGATTTGAATGAATTCACCATCCACCATTTCTGGTGTCATATCAATAACTGGTGCATCAAGAAATGGTCTTGATTTAACCGGCACAAATGGAGGTGTCTTTTGACCAGAAAATACTGTTAATGGATGTCCTGCAAATACTGGGTCACGGTCACGTGAACCACTTTCTGGTTTAAAGTTTTTCTCATAAAGTAATGGAGAGTCTTCATGATTATCTTCTAAATTATCTTCTTGTGGAAGAAGTTTATAATTTGGTGGTGGTTTGACCCATGAACGTATCACTCGTAAAATAACTTCTTGTTTAGCCCATGTATTATGTATCTGTGTTGATAATTTGATTAATCGATCTCGACAACCCTGTAAAGTAAAAATCAAAATTTGTTATTTTAGTGTACCGTGTAAATGATTTCAACAATTATTAGTAGTCTATTAATCAATGAATCTAAACATTGAATTGTAAGCTCTGAAAACATGACATACGAATATAAATCATAGACGGGTATATTTTTTTATTGAAATCACAAACGAATCTCAGTTAGACAACCGGTGAAAATAATCAACGGTGTATTAGTTTCATTTGTTGCACTCTCCTAATACTTTCGATTATTATACCTAGAAATATAAGGATTATCATATTCAACTGTCAGTATCAACAAGCAGATTCTTGCATAATTTAGTTCAGAGTTTTGTGGAGATTATTGAATATCTTAGTTTATCATGTTATTAGTGAGTAACTTCCATAAGTAATTCTGTGAGTTCTACTGAGAAGGCTTGATGAATGAAATCCAACCGATATCTTTTGTGAGATCAATATCACCTTATGACAATGAATGATGGTCGAGTAGTATTAAGGATTCATTAAAGTTAGAAATATCATTCACTAACTGTCAATTCTCAGTAGTTAAAACGTTGTTCACCAGTTATATTGCTCGAAGTTACTCGATCCAATCCCTGTTAGAGTCGCAAATGTTCATTGTCGAGTAGTTTCACACTTGAACAAAACAGCTGTCTAGTACTTCCTAGTTTTTGGCTTTTTGTCTCACCGAGGTCAGTTCGTCATATAAATCTGCAAGATTTTTAATATTTTGAAGAATGGTTTACCTTGTCATTAACATAATCCAAGTAACCCAATCTTTCTCAGTTCGTTATAATTAGGAATGATTATAAAGGGAATTAACATAGTCACAAATCGAGACTTTCTACTTTTTTTTGACAAGGAAACTGAATATCTCAATGGCAATATTTGAAGTGATGACTGTGAAAATAGCTTTATTAATCTGATATAAGTAGAGTGCTATAGACAGCTTTCATCATGAGTTATATTCAATCAATCATCATAGTTAATCTCTAATAATTTTACATAGAATAAAAAATATCCTTTTAAATGTTGTTATTTCAAAATGAATCTCAATAATATGGCTATTTCTCACAAGTAAATTAAATTAACATCTTGTTTAAGATGAAGCTTTCAGTTGAAAATTAGGTAAATGGAAATTTTCAGTGTTAAAGGTTCGATGTATTTTAATGTATGTATAGTTTTGTGTACCATCTACATTCCAATGCCTATTCATATCTGCATAAATCTTTCATACTTAGAGTTCTATTCATTCTTTTCTCAATCATAATTCTATCAGTTAAGTTATTTAATTTACAAAATTGTTTTATAATTTATATGTGTTAATTAAATAAAACAATAAACAACTTTAGATGATAAATTAATGTAGTTTATAATAAGAATATTTTCAGTTTTTCTAGACCATCCTTAAATATACTTTTGTTGGATAGATCCTACACGTAATGCTAATGTGATTTGATTTTTAATGGTATTCAAGTAAATGAAACTTCCAGTCTCAATGAAACCGTTAGTATCATTTCACCAGTGACTTATTTCAAAATGTTCCTGAAGATCTAGAGGGAATTCATAAATTTTTGGAGTGAAATGGTTATCACAAATGGGATTAGATGTCTTCAGGTCATATCATGAGTTGACTGAAGTTGAAATTGTACCATTGTGCTCTGACGTAATAGTTCTCCGAGAGACTTATATGTTCTGGGTTTAGTCCCTGATTAAAGTTGTGGATGTGGGCTACTGATTCCTACATTAAAGTGATAAATTTACTCCGTACATCCTCACTTTCAATTGCCCTCCAACTGAAATCAATCAGTTATGAATAAATATCTACAAATTGAACTAATCTCCCTAAAACTCTTTTCATCCAAAAACAAATTGTCATTTCTTTTTTTCTTAAGCCACAAATACTGAAATAAATAACACAATTTTTTGAATGAATTATCGAAAAAATAATATGTAATTTTTGACACTATACACATTTTATACACACCTTGAAATAACTCACTGTGAATTGTTACATAAATAAATCATTGTACAAGTGAATGAAACGTTCAGTGTACAAGGCTCAAAGTGTACTTATTGAAAAACGTGTTTTCTCAACATTTATTTATCAAATATGATAAATATATTGAAAGAAATTATCAATTTTCATTTCATTATTTATATTTTTTGAACGCATTAATAATTTCAATGTGTGAGTTCTGAACGGATTTATTTTGATGTTTTTAATAATTTGTCATGATAACAAGTGATTTTAGTAAGTAACTGTTGAATACTAAAAAACTTTATTACTCATCAGTTTATTGATACACCATTTAGCTTATTAGAAAGATGTAACATTTTAAACTTTTTCAGCTTAGATTATGGTAGTTCTCTAAGTACGAACGATTGAGATTGTTTTAACACAGATAGGATCTAATGGAAACTCAATGATGCTGTAACTGATACACTCTACAACAATAGAACGAAAAAAAGTTATAATTTCAAAGCAGACTTCACAGTGAAGGACAGAAAAACAACTTTCTGTATATAAGAATTAACATGACCTTAGGACACAGAACAAGGGAGCTAGGGATGGTAACAACTAACTAAGCAGCGAACGTCATATGGAAAGACGACTTAAAAACACTTTGTTTGTGCTTACAAAGATAGAGCTACATTATGAGTTTTAATACATTTGGGAAGATTCAAGTTGTATGTCTGGTTGTATTCCGGATTCGCTAGCTGAATATACCCACATTTCAGTATCGATGTTCGTGTTGAAACTAGAACCCAGTACCTTCCACTTCAAACGACACTGAATCCAGATAGTCACTAACTTGTGTCCAACAGGTATGATGGCAAACGACTGCCAAAGTTTAGGGGACATCTGAACTCAGTAATTCAACCACGTACCAAATCAATTTATGTTACCGTTCTTTAAAACGAAGGTCTTCCTTCTTATAGTATTAATTGACTGTATAACAAAATTGTGATAAAAGACTGCAACAAACATAGAAACAGTAGACCTATTTAAAACAGTCTTCTGACTGATTTATTTACTCAATTATTATCTTAATCTATGTTTAGTTTTTAAATGCAAGTAGTTTAAATAAATTTTTAGGAACAAGGTGATGCACGCAATGTAAACAGTTAAGTTTGTTAATTTGTTTATTGGTTAAAGAAAGTGCAAACACTTCTATTGATCAATACTTTATACTTACTAAACTACTTTTGCTGTTTATATCAGATCAAATTGTTACATTACTTTCAATCATCTATTTTACATAACAAAGATTTTTTAGCCATTCCAAACAGAAATATTATTCAGAGAAAATATCCTGGAAATATGATTGGAAGATAATGTATATTAGTAGCAATAAGAACTACGAAACCAAATTTGCTTTCATCATTCTGTTGGAGCCCAGTTAAAATTAAAACCATACAAGAATATTGAATATTAAATGGTTGATTTGTCAAGAAAAATACTGTAAATTTTAAGTGTTGACGGAACTTTTTCAAATTATTCTGCACATTTCCACTGTCTTATCATACATGGAGTATCTATTTTTTTTTCTCAGTGCAATAAGTTTGACATTATGCTTTACTTTTACATTAATCAGTTAGTTTAGAATATAAAAAGTTATTTTTAAATAAAAAGAAAAACTTTATTATGCGATTACTACAAAAACCGCGGATGGAGTATAAAGCTAATCATCATTTTAGCAATATATGAAAACTAGTAAGGTTCTATGATCAATCTAAAATTTTACATGTTACTCATACACATTGATTTTGGAGAAATTCAGTCACTGACTTCCACTCCACCGTGTTCACATTGAAATAAGAAATAAAAAGCTACTTGATTCTTTCTATTTGACAGAAATGAGTAAAAATCTTTTCAGTATGAATATTACTATGAATTTCATTTGGAAATAGAATGCATAATGTTAAAAATTTAAACAATTTTTCAATAAACACTAAGAAAGTTCTTCATGACAGTGGGGCATAAAGGAAATACCCAATCATTGATAACTGAGATCTGAAGTGCTAGTTTTACCTGCCTTATAACTAAAATGGAAAACAAGTTTTTAGTTAGCTTTATTGATTTAAACTGCTTTCTTTTCCCGACAACTCAGCAAATAAAACGGTCAAACGTTTAAAAGCATCCAGTAATTTTTTTTTAGATTATAAATAAATCACTGATCCAAATCATATGAAAATACATTGATACTTGTAACTTGGTGTTTACCGACATAAAATTGTTCTTTCATCTTGACGATCTTTGTAAACATTGAGATATTATAAGGAATACTTTGTTCAAGTGACTTTTTCACCCCTATTTTTTATTTTTCACTTTTGAAAATAAACGCCAATACTATGTGTCAATATTACTGCAACTAAAGTGAATTAGGTTCCCTACTGTGCAACAAATATGTCAATCAACAAAGTGTACAGTCAATAGCACTTCATATAATTAATATAATAAAGATGGATTCACATTTCACAGAATAGATCTGCTTACACAATAATAATAATAATAATAATTAGTGAAAATTGTTATTTAAGATTTGTTTGTTTTTTTACATAGAATTATTATTATTATTATTATTGTTAGTGGCGGTGCTGGCGGTGGCGTTTAGTTCAGTGCGTGTGTGTGAATTCTCTTGATAATCTGACTAAAATTATTAATTCATTTCAAATAATCAACAATGATGAATTAGCTAAATTCACATCATTTTTACTTAATTATCAATAATTAAATTCTAATGAATCTATAGACTTTTTATTGAAATAAAATAATCCACTTATTATTATGGATCATATCAATGAATCATAATTAACAAACAGAAATCTACGTAAAGCATAATGCATTAGTTGAATATTGAATGATGACTGAAATCAGTAGATAAGAAATGTTCTTTTGACGTGGATACTCATTACAACAAGGCATAAATGTGTGCTGCGTTGTGTACATTAATACACTTTAAGCAAAACAAAATCCTTGTCATCACTCTTCATACAG